TTACTGACAACTTTCCCTCATCAGTCACTTCATGGACTTTATTGAGCCTATTTTTTATTTGTTCTTGCATATTTCACTTTGTTTTTTTATACATTTTCCGATGTCGGTTCACTAGTTTTTCATCCTTTGCATTATTTTGGTCTTTTATATATTTAGAGTTGTTTTTCTCCCAGCATTTTACAGTGCAGCTTCATTTTAGAGAGGTGCTACATAAATAAAGTTATTATCCTTATAATAATTCTGCCACTCCATTCTGACCCCAAGTCTTGTTTAAACACAATAGTAAACATTAACAAACATAATAACGCTGAACTGTTTCAGTGGTGCACATCCCCAAACACATTCTAATTCATTTCCGTTCATTTATTTATTGTGTAGTTTGTTGTGGCTCTCGAGCTGCTCAGTTTTGCACATTTTAATAGAGTGCATCACATTGAGTCAAAGCAGTGTGATAACTTGTGTTTTAGGGTTTTTAAACACAAAATGCTGCATTTAGATAAATTAGGATTTAAAAAAAATATTTACTTTGCCAGAAATCGAGTCACTTATCACCTGAAAACAACAATAAAACTCAAAATGTATGCTATAAATGTGACTTTGTTCACTTGAAAAATCATTAATTGATCATAGTTGCTCTTTTTTGTGACATAAAAAGTCATATATTTGACTAAAACTTGAGTATCCAGTGACTATGTGCACCGTTTCACGTCACTGAAATGTGTTTTGAAGGAGACAGATTACAACATATTGACAAAGACAGATGCTTCTCCAGGTTTCAGAAACATTCCAGATGACTTACACGGTCTCTGTTGTGTCTAAGACAAAAAAACAAATCATTATTCACGCTGATGTTTGCAGATCAGTTTTAATTTCAGTGCAGCATCAAGTCAACACACAGTGAGTTATAATGATAAATAAAAGTGGCTGCGTTAAGCCCTACACTAGACTTGTCATCTCACACGTCACGAACGCCAAAGACTGAAACATCTGGTCCAGGCTTTGAGTCCTGGACGTTTCCCTCAGCTCCTCGCCTACAAGTTTAACTTATCCAGCTCACTGACACAAATGGCTTGATGAAGTTTATTGTTCGTTTTTCAGCAGTTATCCATGCACCACATCTACAATGATATATTCCACCAAGCTGCAGTGTCACAGAGTAATATTAGGATAAACATTATGTCCTTTATTTTTACTTCATATACAAGGGCACCCAGGAGACCCTCCTACATTGAGTTTCAGCGGTCTGGAGGAGTAATGAGCTAACGGGGGGGAGAAGGGAGCCGACGGCGGCGCGATGACCGAAAACAACTGGTGTGGCATTTAGGACGAGCAGCGGAGCCTCTTTTTACGCAACAGCAACTTCTTTCAAGCACCTCGATCCGGTTTTTGAGAACACACTTCACCCAGCCACCACCACCACCACCAGCACCACCACCGTGTCCTGTCAACTCAGCAGCTTTGTTCAGAAATGCACTTGAAGAACTTAAATAAATAATGCTCAGGACGCCGAGGTCCCGTCTTCAGGGAGATTTCTGGAAACTGTACAACATAAAGGGGATTATATACACACTACACCTGCTGTATCATTGAAACTAAACCTTTTCATCTTCTGTTTTTAAGAGGACGTCTGGTTGCACAAAAACAGCATTTTGCGATAACACTGAAGCAAATGAGTATTTATGCCTCCTCTAAGCAGAAGTTGGGTGAAATTAAAGATTTCTAGACGTGTTCAGGTTTCATGCTCGTATATAGACACAACTTCACTTGTCATCGTTGCTGTTTTGTGAATTCAGTCTGACGTGCTTCGGTAAAAGGCAACTAAACGTCTTGTTTTCTTTCTTGAAGATGCTTCACCTTCATCCAAGAGGCTTCTTCGACTCTAACTGACTCACGGAGAGTCTGAAGTATTGATTCTCACCCCTAAGTCACACAGCTAATGGTGTATTCATGACTCACAGGCTTAAAGGAGTGAATGGTGGTGAAACTGTGTGTGGAGGGATGACAGGACTGAAGTACCTGATCAGGGGTGTTTACTGTGTCTGGCTCTCCTGTGTTATCTTCATCTGTAAGCATATGAAGCAATGAAAGATCAAATCTGTAAAAAAAAAAATACTATAATTTAGCTTTTAAAGGCATTTGAACGGGGTCCAAACATAATGTGATTTTCCTTAAATACTCAGAAATTTGTACAGAGTTTGGTTGGAGGCTGGTTCAATAAACTCAATCCATACAACACATTAAGGCTTTTAAAGAGGAGTTTCGTATTTTTCACGACATTATTATAGCCAAGGGTTGAACATGATGTGATTTCCCGTAAATATTTCTGAAATTTCTCCAGTGTTTCATTGGGGGCTGTTCGATTAAGCAAAAATCTTTTACTTTTCTCAACTGAAATATCAACACACAGGAGTGTAAAAAGATCAAATTTGCAATCTTAATTAATAATTTATTAATCCACATTTAGTTTGTAAAGGCTTTTTAAAGGAGGAGTTCGTCTCCACTACATTAATTTACCCGATGGTTGAACATAAGGTGATTTTCCTTAAATACCCACAAAGTTGTACAGAGTTTGGTTGGTGGCAGGTCAATCAAGCTAAAAGGCTTTTTGGTGTTCTAATGCAACAACTTCCAGCAAATAAGAATGTAGAAGAATAAAAACCTGCAGAAATTATAACTGAATAGCTCAATAAATAAAATTCAATTTGTCAATCCATCCCACACATTTAATTTTCAGTTTATTAAATTGGGTAAATGTGATGCAATTTTCCTTAAATACTCAGAAATTTGTACAGAGTTTGGTTGGTGGCTTTTACTATTCTCCACTGGAGTAACATATCTATCAGCATATAGGAGAGTAAAAAGATCAAATCTGAAAAAAACATAACTTTGTAGTTTAACCAATAAAATGCAATTCGTTAATTAATACTACACATTTACTTTAAAGGCTTTTAAAGGTGAATTTTGCATCACATTACAACACCCTGTGGTGGAAGATAACTCCTTAAATAGCCAGAAATGTGTGCAGAGTTTGGTTCTCTTTTCTCCACTAGATTAACGTCATAACCTCCAGGAAGGACAGCATTTCTGTTCATATCTTTAGTTTAGTCGTCTCTTTGATTCTTCTCATATAACGTGTTTATCTTTAAATTAGCAGAAGTTTGATTGGTGCCCTTTTGACTTTCCTCCACTGGAAAAAAAGAAGAACAAGAACTGCTGAATAATTAAAATTTCCTAAAATTGACAGAAAAACGTACAGAGTTCGGTTGGTGGCAGGCGAAGGGGTGTGAATTTACTACCTCAGTATTTCTGGAATCACAGCTTGTGAGGCCCTTGGGGGGTCTTTGGCAGCGGGACAGAAGGGTGAGCGGATCACATGTAGATGCCGTTTCTCCTTTCACTTCCTTCTGAAGGTGCAGCTGCTGGAAAGCAACGAAACCCGGTCGGAAACGGAGTGCACATGCTGGAGGGCGAAGCTGGAGGGAAACACTGCGCAGAGGTTTAAGGCCTCGGAGGTGATGAGCTGTTGAAACACCACGGTCTGTGTCCAGTCGGTGAGGTATATTTTAAACAGAACGAGCCGAGGTGCAGACGTAAGCGGTGAAACACACGACTACTGTAGGTGCACACTAGAAACTGCAGCTGGTTACAGTCAGTGCCGGACAAAAACACAAAACACCGTGTCGACATGTTCCCCGACCTGCAGATAAAAACACAGGACATGTTGCATTTTTTTTTTTTTTTTAACCCCTCCCAAGGTTGTGTTTATTTCCTGCTGCGGGTCATTGCAACTCCCCAGAACGTCCATCAACCGAGTGATGAGCAGCAGAGGAACCAAAGCTAAAGGCTACGAGTCAACAGCGGGCGTATAATATCGGTTGTCGATGGCTCCCCGGGTTTTGTACACGTAAGAGTCGCTGTCGGCCGGCGGTGGAATCGACACGCAGGAACCGTCACTGACTGAATTGTCGAAGTACAACAGCTACAACCATTAAACAGCTCGACTAGCTCACCGAAAGATGCTACACAGGATTCACGCGACAGTCGGGGCGGCTCTCGTTCGGATTTGCTGCTACAGAGCTGCTCCCCACCGCCCGCTCTCATCTATTTACAAAGTTTTTCAGAAGCAGGGGCGAGAGACTAAAGCGGACGATGCTCGAGTGATGCTTTGCGGCAGTGCAGCCGGGCAATAGTGGCTCACGACCTTGTAGAGCAGGTTCGTTTTCAGGGGCTTTTTACACATAACTGTCAGACAAGCTCACGCAATCCGGAATCATAAAATCTGCCTTCTGTGGCCGGTGGTGACACCAGCAAGGGAGACAGAAACAGAGGAGGTTACAGGAGCTTTTGGAGGCTAAGATGAAGACAGTCAGTGCTTAGAGTAGGAATTACAGTCTAAAAGAAGCACACGTCATGAGCACGTGTCCACAGTGTTGTCAGAAAGGTGACCCAACAAGCGCAGGTTCAAGTTTTTAGAACAATAAACCCCATCGTCACCTTGACTTTACAGCCCTCTTACGAGCAGAGTCTGTGATAAGCATGCAAGAAGGTTTATCTCAGTTCTTCTTCTGTGTCACATAATCACCTCGTACACACTTCACATTATTTCGCAGGATTTTGTCGAACTGCCGCAGTCAAAGTTGCCCGTCTGCACCGCCTCAAAATGTGGCCAAAAGCGCAACAGTTATGTGTTTGTGTGTGGTTTGATAATACGGATGAGAAACCAGGTGTTCAGCAGTCGTTTCCTTGTGGACGTGATGGTTGTTGTTGTTGTTGTTGTTGTTGCAGATGGAGGTGATGTTCTGGTGGTCTGTTTCTCCTGGCTCCTGTTTGTTTTTCTTTTTTACCTGCCAGCTCCTGAAAAAGGTCCTGAAAGAGGAAACATAAAACAAAGCTGCTCAACATGAGGAACGCAGTGATTTCTGTATAAAATGTGTTTAATATGAGAAACGTTTTGAATGCATGACACAGGATTTCACCTTTTTACTTAAAGAGCAACTTGCAGGTTGAACTTCAATTGAATGAATACCTTTGGGGACTTTAACATATCTTTTATGGGACATACAGGCATACATTTAGGTACGAAGTACATTTTCTAAGGAGTGCCTTTTAAAACCCTTTATATTATTACCCACAACCAGCGGCGTCTCTGGCGTGAAAAGTTGAGTGGGGCACAACACACTGTGCAGCTACAAGCAGCATCTGATTCTTCTGTCTGTAGAAGCTCTTTAACCGAAATCATATTTGTAATTAAAATTATTGGTATCCATGAATTTTCAAATTGACTGTTTAACAAAAAAACTTCTCAGAGAAGCCCAGTGGCTCAGATTTGGGTATAAAAAGGTGAATTCTGTTGAAAATGGTAAAACGTGGAGAGCTGAGTGAGAACTGAAGCACTTCATGATGCTGGAAGGTCTTAATGAATTAGACAGGTGGTCTAATAAATGTGTTAAACACTGTATTTATACATTTCAACCTCTTCAAAACTAAAACTACCGTTAGGATCCATATTTCTTATCGTTCATTGTGGGGCACATTTAGACTTAAAAATAAAACAAAATCTTGCTTCTGCTTTATTTCCCTGTGCATTAATTAACTGGAGGTCACCAGGATGTAAGTTTCTCTCCTGGTAATCATCGACTGCTGTCCCAGGCTGAGTAGCACTAACAGGAAAAGAGATTCTATTCTGGTAAAAGTCTCTTTCCCCACCTGGCTACTGGACGTCCAGCTTGCTCGGCCCGACGCTGTGGATGAGCTGGGACGACTCGGAGGCGGCGTTGTACGCTTGAATCAGCAGGTTCTTGTTGAGGTCTCCCACCCCGCTGCCGGCCTGTAGCTTGGGGTAGGGGGGCGTCTCTGCTCCCGGGCGCTGCCCCCTTCCCGGGGCGTCGAGGTCCATCAGGTGCTCCAGAGGGCAGCCGTCGGTGCCCTCGGTGACCGGCGAGAACTCCTGGGCGCTCGCCTGCTCGTCCCTGGACACGGGACTGATGGACACAGATGGAGAACTTAAAGGAACAACGATGACGGAGACACAATATTTATTTCATTAGCGCTTTTTAAAGATTCGTTAGTTGTTGTGGACAAATGAGATGCAAAAATTATAGGTGGAGAAACGAGACTTAGAGCTGAAATGATGAGGAGATCGATCAATCATAAAACACACAGAAAAGACAATCAGCAGCTTTTCTGATCAAATAATCGTCTGAATATTTATTTTTTTTAAGCAATAATTTGCACTGATTTGCGCTTAATGAAAAGCTCAAAGACTAATGATCCTTTTATGCTTTATTTAACAGAGGCTGCAAATACGTGACTGAAAATATCTTAAATCTAATTTTTATAAGTTTAAATTGTATGATAATTATAAATTTATCTCAGTGGATTGTTTAACCCAGAAGTGGAACTTTATGCATGAAAGTTTAGCAATGTGTTTAAAGTTTCAGCAGCTAATTCATCAAATTCCTAATAACATCCCAATATATTGAAGTTTGTAAAACCTAATAAACCTCCTACTGCTGCAATTAAACTGTATGCATCGGAGATTAATGTTTAGGTGTTGATGGGAGGATAACGCACACAAAGAACTCGTGAATCATCTGCATTTATATCCGATCAGTATAAGGGGAATGAGTCGACGCTCACAGTTTGGGTTTGAGGAGCATTTTTCACTATTTTCAGACATTTTAATGATGAATCATTAGTTGCAGCCCCCAACACGAACATTTGAATTAAGTGCTCTCTGATGATAAATAATGGATCTCTGGTCGTTGCTTTAAGACGGGCAGCGTTAACGTGGGATGACAATGAGATGCAAGGCTGCAGGAACAAAAAAAAAAAAAGCCCCAAAAAAAGTTAACTTGACGAAGAAGTGCGAAGTGGAGGAACACGGCGAGATCTTCTGGGCGACCCTACCTGACGTCCATGGACTGGACTCCGTCGGACAGCTCGTCCACGCAGCTCTTATTCTCCAGGGGTCCCAGCGTGATGACGGGGGCTTCGGCCGGAGTCGGAGCGTCGTCCTCGGAGGCGACGGCAGCTTCAGCTCCACCCTCAGCCGCTGCAAACACAAAGTGAAGATGAGCTGCCCGTGTGTTTGAAAATCTAATACTGCAGTGAACCACATGCAAACCAGCAGCTCTGTACTCTGGAGGGAAAAAAATATAATGCAACATTTACGATACATCACTAGATTATATTATTTTCACCAGATTTCTTAAATAACTCTATTAGGAAATGATTGTAGAATGATTGGGATGGTTTTGTAGGAAACTGCACCTGCTTCAGAAACACAAAAACACATTTTATGGGGCTTTTTTTGAGAGTGTGAAAGTTAAAATATCCAGTGGTTGCATTGGTGCGAGTGCTTGATGATCATAAAGCTGTATTGGTGTCGCTGTAACCGGGGCAGGCAGCTACTGTGTTAACCACAGTGGTAGAAAGAAGCACATTCTTCTCACGAAAAGCACCTAAATGCTCTTTTTTCCGCTTATAGAAAAGACCACATGTAGAAAATAATCACTTGGTTTCATCAAATCTGACACTAGAACGCCCTAGTTGACTCTTCAGAGTAATTTTTGGTCACACACCTGTCTGAGCACCCCGCAGCCACCCAGCAGCAGTTACCACAGCCTGCAATGTGGGGCGTTCAGGGAACATCTGTAAATTGTAGCATCTACCGATAAGTCATATGTTTTGCCTGCGACAACTTTGGAAGTATGACCCAATGAGAAAGTTCATCTGGAGCCCTAAAAAGCTTAAAGGAAGCAGTTTGGAACCTTCCTCATGTGGTGTCACACCGGCACAGGAATTATCAACAGCTCTTTGTGTTGGATGGCGTTTAGTTCCAGCCTCGCGGTGCTGATTTAAACGGTCACACAAATACGTTGCCTTGTGTGGTGCACGACAGAAAGCACTTGTTTTTGGTTCTCTAGCAGAAACATTTCCATACAACTGATGTGTTTCTGCAACCAAGTCTTCCTTTTCCTGTGCTTCTCTTGTTCTGCTGTTTACACGTGGAACCGGCGTGTCGACAAACTCCATGTCTGGTAAATAAAGTTTTTTTAAAAATGAGAACCTGGCCCAGTTTTCTTTGTATATGAAGCAGCAAAAACTAGCATGAGGCTAATGCTGCTATGATACAGAAGTTATGAAACACTCCTTATTTTATGCTCCGTGTACAGGATAGGACCTGTTATCAGATATAACGGCAGAAAGAGTGTCGCAATGTCTGTAGAATAAATGAGTACAAATCCATCCATCCATCATCTATACTCCGCTTAATCCTCACGAGGGTCATGGGGGGCTGGAGTCTATCCCAGCTGACTCAGGGTGAAGGCAGGTTCACCTGGACAGGTAACCAGTTTATCACAGGGCTACACTTAGAGACAGACAACCAAGCACACTCACATTCACACCTACGGACAATTTAGAATCAACAATTAACCTCAGCCGGAGAGAACCCTCGCTGCACGGGGAGAACATGGAGACTCCACGCAGAAAGATCCCGGGTGTCCTCACTGGGACGCGAACCGGCGACCTTCTAGCTGTGAGGCAACGATGCAAACTTTGCAGCCCAGTACAAATTTAAATAAATTTAAATTGTCTTATATATTGAACATTTTATAACAGAGCAAATTATGAATAATGACAACATTGATAGGCATTGGGCAAGTTTTGTGCGTATACAGATGGAGGGAAGGAGTTAAATATTATTTAAAGAGATAATATAGATGGTGCAGCGTAAGTGAAATGTTTGTGTATACATTCATGAATGACTCTCAAACATCCTGAATCCCAGCTCTGGAGACATGTTTTGTTTTTGCATGTTATTCATTCTGTGTAATTAATATCTTGCTTTTTGATTGACTGGAGGTTTGATTCAGATCATCTGAAAATAGTCCAGATGTTTATGGCAGCAGTACGTTTTTTATTCGTCTGCTTCTATCAGCGGTGCTAAATGCTCGCTCATGAAACAAGCAGCAGACGAAGTCATCGATCATGGCTCTGGGATGTTTGCATAAAAAGTTATCGAGCGTTAAACAGAAGAGTATAAACCCGTAGATTTCCTGACAACGAGGCGAGAAAATATTTCCTTCTAATCGATTTAAGTGGTCGTTTTTGTCACTGAGTGTGTAAAACTGCAGGATTTAGCCTGGTTCATGTCCTCTGATAAAACAGCAGTTCAGGTCAGAGAGTTCAGAAAACGCTGCAGCATTCTGGGTTGATGTTTCTGCCACGCGACCTTCGGGGGGCGCTGTTCCTCCGTCTGCTGCAACACTGCTGACTCACGCTGCAGCTGACAGCGATCACATTGGATTTCACAGAGAGATGTAATCGCACTGGAGAGAAAATGAGCTTTGCAAAGAAAACAGGAAGTGAATTTTAAAAAAAAGGTGGTGAAAAATAAGTTGTGTAACAAGCAGAAGGACCACAGAGGCAAAGGATGACAAATCACGCTGGTGCGGAAGCTGAAGTCATCGGGGAGATGACAGCATCAGTTTCCAGAAGTGTGTGTTTGTGTTGAAGGGAGGAGGCTGTTCAGCGTTTACCTGAAGCAGCAGACGGAGGCTCCACTTCACTCTTCCTTGTTCTCTTCATGATCTCCTCAATTCTCTGGTAAATCAGATCAAATTAAAAACACAGACATGAAAAACACTTCTTTTCATGACAAGTGGGCAGAATCTGCAGATATAATCACATTCTTCAGAACAGAGATGGATCTGAAGCATTGTTTTTACTGTTATCTTCCTGTGATGTGTCTAAACTGTGGAATGAACGTGGCGTGTACATGAGGAAGCAGATGTTGGTGCAGATGTTGGCTACCTTCTTCCTCTGCTGCCTCTCCTGCTCCTCCTGGATGTGCAGCAGCTCCCTCTCCTGCCTCTTCCTCTCCGCCTCTTTCTGGGCTCGCAGGAAGGCCTCCTCCCTCTGAAAAACACCAACGTCTCATCACTCTTTTCTGTGGAACTACCTGAGCAGCGTACATGGAGCGCTGATCATCTTGTTAGAGTGCAGTGCTTTGCTGGAAATCACAGTTTGAAGACAGCTAACTGATATGACGTCATTGTTTTGTGCAATATCATTATCTTCCACAACTAGAGGAAACCGTGCAATAACTTCCAACAGTTCAGAATCCGTTTTTATGCACTCGTGTATATTTCTTGCTTGTTTTCGTGTTTTTGCTTCTACATCCCCTTCGCTGCTGCAAATTGCCCCGCCGTGGGATCAATGAAGGTTCATCTCATCGATCCTGGAATCATTCATCTTTCAACCTGGTGTTAAATAAGTCGGGGACAGTTTTTATAATAAGGCAACAGCTCTATTTAATGCACACCAATAAAATCTGGTCCAGCAGCGGCCCGTGGGCATCAAACAGCTGTTCTCTGCACGTTACAGCTCATTTTACACTGAGTCACGTTACCCTGCACATCATTTATTTTGATAGTTTTTATGTATTGTATTTATTGCACATAATCTTTATTATTTTTCGATAATATTAGTAACTGCACATAACGTTTATTTTTGACAATTGCTCTGTGAACTGTACATTCTCATCTCTAATAATTGCATTTATGTTTTTTAGCACCACTGTGGATGAGAAGCAGGTATGACTGTATAATGACGATAAAGATTCGTCGTATCTATTTGATATTATTCTGTTTGTCATTTCATTCTATCACTCTTTCACAGGACACACGAGAGCTCCTATCATTATTCTAATTAATCAACCTCGTCTTCCTCTCGTTGTTTACTTGAATTGCTGTTGTATTAAAACGAGCCCATAATAAGCTCATTTACAGAATAATAAAAGTATTTTTTAAGTCTACTGGAGTATGTTTACATGCTGTAATGTTCATAAAGCACATTATTTTTATTTTGTCTGAAACACTTTACGCTACAAACTCTGACTCCTCAAATCTGGAATATACTGACGTGGCTCGAGCAGCTCTGGCAAAGGAAATAACGTGGATTTGAAATGAGGCGTTGCAGGCAGGTTGAGGAGCTTTTTGTTTTTGTGGCGTGGACGTTGGGCTTCATAGGTTTAACAAAAAGGTATAACAAAAGACGGGAGGAACCACAAAAGAGCATCTGAAGAGCAACTCCGGATGAAAAAAAGTCTTTCAGAAATGTTAACCGGCTTTGAAAACGCTGGATTTGTCGTCAGAAGAATCCTGACATAAGATACGAGGCGTTAATAATGTATCCACATTATTAACGCATCGTATCTTATGTCAGGATTCTTAAAAGATGACATAAACACTGAAACCGACTCTTTCCATTTGTTAATACAGTTACCGTACGTTCTGGACTATAAGCTGCTACTTTTTTCAACACTGAGCCTTAAACAATGATGCGGCTAATTTATGGATTTTTACGATTTTTATGCCTCGAGACCAAAGTGACGTTGAGAGCGACAACGTAAGAGAGACTGAGGAATTCTGAGGCTGTTCAAATCCTGAAGACACTGAAGAAGACGACTTTAGTGGTTTTAGTGCAGGAGGAAGATGAAGATAGCCATCAGTGACTTTTCCTGGTAGGCTGCTGTAGTTTTATTTTCTTAACCAGCCGTGTTACAGGCGCTGTTTGGGAAAAAGCATCTACGGTATTTGTGTTTGTTACCGGTACGTATTTAATCAAAAGTTTAAAAAATCTTTGTGTGTAAATATCTCATGTTACAACGTGGACACCTGCAGCCTATAAACAAGTGCAGCCTGTATATGTACAAAACTTTTTAAAGTTATTTGGTGCGGTTTATATTCAGGTGTGCTCAGTAGTCCAGAATTTACGGTAACTTGAAGCCGCCTGAGCGACCTCTCTGCATGCCGACCTCTCTGTCCAGCTGGTCCTGCATGTCCTTCCATCTCTGCTCCTTCTGCCGCCGCTCCTCCTCCTCCCTGGTCCTCCTCTCCTCCTCCCGTCTCGCCCTCTCCTCCTCGGCCTGTCGAGCCGCCCTCTCCTGCCGCTCTCTGGCCTCCTGCTGCCTCCTCTGCTCCTCCTCGGCCCTCAGCCTGCAGGAAAAGCACAAAGATTCAGCATCAAATAGATGCAAATATGAGCATTCTCTGACTTTGTTTGGTGCTTTTGTTGTCGTTTATATCCATGGATGCTGTGTGTTATTGATTTTCTTATATTATTGCATATTTCACTGTGTTTAACTCAGTTTTTCCACTTTTTACTTTGCATTGTTGTTTTTTTAGCCTGTCTGTAAAGCACTTTGTACGCTCTGTTCTTAAAAGAAGCTACATAAGTATGATTAGTTTTCGATGGATACGGGATTATCAACGTTTTTTACATTTATCTTATTTATATTTCGACTTACATTTGATAAAATGCTGCAAAACCTTAAAACAATTTCCCTTTCTTAAGCCAGACTGACATTTATCCAGCGTTAGATATGTTAAAACATTTATGACAAGACAAGAGCGCTGCAGAAACCTCAAAAGGAAGGAAGGCAATGAATAAATAATCACATTAAAAAGAGGAAAGGAGGATCAATGGATGGATGGGAAGCAAACAGGACCACTGCAGGTCTCCGTCTCGTTAGAAATCTGGGCTTTTGGATCCTTTATGCTCATTGATTTCTCAGTTTGCCTGCTTTTTGTAGACAAATGTTGTACGATAAAAGATCCAGTGGCAACCACCGATTATTCATGATTATTTTTAGAAAATCATGAGGCTGTTTGAACCCGACCGAAAGCTTCAATCTGGACAAAAAAAAAGTGAAGCAAATGTTATTTTTAGACATTATTGGTTGCTTTGCTGGACAATTACAGGAGAAACTTGGTGTCATCTCTATTTTTTGTTGACTGTTTGTGAAAATAATAAAGTGTTTGTGAGAAAATTTGTGTTTTTTTTAAATTCTAAATAACAGAAATGCAACATGAACTGACTGTAAATTAATAAAACTGTTAGACTGTTAAATAAGACAGCTCAGTTTTTCTCTACAATGTCTTAACTTCTTATTAAATTAAGTAAAAACGACATTTCCAGTCTGAGTCAGAGTGAGATTTTTGTCACAACTTTACTTTTTCTCTGGCTTCTGAAATCTGTTTTCATGCAACCGAGCGTCATATTTCCGCCGATTGTGAGCGTAAATACGAGAACACTGGCCTCTCCTCCTCCTGCCGTTGCCTCTCCTCCTGCTCCTTCTGTATTCGGGCCAGACGGCGTCGCTCCGCCAGCAGTCTGGACGCCTCCTCGGCATCCATCGTCCCGCCGACGCTCCTGCCGGTGGGCGTTCCTGGAGACTCTGGAGGAGGAACAAAGATGGCCGAGTGGGACTTAACATTTGAGGACGATCTTTTGGCAGGAAAAGAAAACAGCAGGTTCGATGGCGTAAAATCCAGATTCAGACATCTATTTGCCTTACAACACTGCTTCTTCTTTATCTCGTTGGCAGTAAATCCTTTCTGATTCTGATTTCGCTTCACTGATGAGTTTTTATGACATATTCACAGGTTCAGACTCTGTTATCCAACCCGGTATTAATCATATGAAATTTGTCTTACTGACATCTTTGTTTTTAGCCTTGTTTATGTACTTTTATAATTCTTGTCTTCCTTCTTCTGTGCCTCTTTTCTATCTAGTAGCTGTAACATGCACATTTTCCCAATAAACTTTATCTTATCTCGCCTTATCTCACCAAAACTGCACCGACAGTAGCTTCCTCGTTGCATCTCGTAGCTACATCGGTTGAAACTGGCAGCTCAGGCTGTCAGAAGATTCTCTACCTGCGTTCAGTTCTCTGCTGGTGGATTTGGGGATCTTCTTCTCGGAGCCGTCAGATTTGGCGGACTTCCTCTCCAGCGTGCCGTGACCTTTGGCCTCGGCGTGGCCCCGGTCGTCGGGGGTGGTGGCCCTCTGCCGGAGCGGGGATGGCGGGTACTGTCCCGGCGAGCAGGGGGACTGGGCCCGACTCCTATTGGACCTCACCCTGGCAACCAAACGGGACGCCGTCAACTTCAGCTGGACGATAACTTAACAGCTTTGTGTTATGTGTGTGTTTGTGTACCGTTTCGGTGTGGCCGGGCCCTTGCTGTTGGCCCGGAAGGAAGAACTTCGGACCGGCGTGCTCGGAGACTCACCCTGAAAGATGTTTTACTGATGTCAGACTTTGTTCTATACATAAAAACACATTTAAAATGAGACGTTTACCCGAAAGTGCTGCACAGTTAAGGCAATAAAACACAACAGCAGAAAGAGTACTAAGATAATAAGAACAAAACATGCAACACAATAATAAATAGAGACAGTGTGTTAATCAAATGCCAACAGGAAGAGGAGGGTCTTTAGAGACAGGTTATGTCGCCGCAAAGGCTCCATCTTTCATTGTGCTTCGATCTCAGAGCATCCTGTTGGTCAACACCAGTGATTTATGAAGATGTGAAAATATAGGACATAATACAACCCTCAGATATTTACAACCAGAGCACTAATCTTCAACCAAAAGGGAAATTAACATAATTATATGTATTTGTGTAGCTTAAAACGCCTGTTCTTAGTGTTGTCGAAGCAAACGGGTTCATCCGTGGCTCTAACTCAGGTGATAATCTACCGCAGAGTCGAGGAAAATCTGTATTTTGCGCAATAATTTTAATCAGAATGCAAATTTTGTGTGTTTTTGAGCCCTGAAAGTAACGTTTTCATCAAGAAAATGAAAAGGCTGGAAGTCAAATGCAGGAACGTTTATGTTAACAGTTTCTGACAGAAAAGAGTTTAATAATGGTCTAAAATCAAGCCGAGTGCCACATAAAAGCAGGATACTGAGGCAAAAATACGAAAATACAGCTTGTGTAAGTTAGATGCAAGTGAAACATGAGTGAATTTTAGGACCTAATAGCAGGAAAACATAGTTGTAGACAGTTTAAGACTGAGATGAAGTTCAGTAAGTCTATTTAAAAGCTCTAAAACAAACATAAAAATCTAAAAAAAAACAATTCTGAAACATGCAGGAAGCAGTCGGAGGGCGGACAGCAGTTCTGTGATCAGGTTTTCTGTTTCCTGTTAGAAGACGAGCAGCTGAAGAGAAGACTGCTCTGCTAGAGCATGCAAAGAAATAAAACTGCATGATAATAATAAGGAATAAATAAATTTCTAACGGCGTCATTCTGTCACAAATCATCAAATTAATTTCTGCTTGATCGTCTCTGACTTCCCTCAGTTTTTCATCACATAAAATATGGATGTTCATAAAGACATCTGTGAGATTTTAGATTGATATATCAAATACTTTCAAAGATTCTTTTATTTAAAACTGCTTGTCGACCCACTTTCAGCAGGTTTTTCCACACATTGAAATTTGAGGCTTTTCGATCAACGATATCTCAGATTTTATTAAAGATAAAAACCTGAATTTTTCACTGTTATTTCTCATCATGACACTGATTCAGAATCTGTAATACTGGACAAGTAGATTAAATGATTTCTGATTATGGAGGAGTTGAAAGATGAAAGAAAAAAAAAGTAAAGCTGCCATCAAAAGTCCCATCTTTGAGCTCACATTAACAATTTACAATTAACAACAATCATTTTTATTTTTATCATTTTCAGCTTCATTTAATATGACTCAGCACTAAATTAATTTTTAAACTACTGTAACTGCTGGAAAACTGTGAGCTGAAAAACATCCTGACATGAAAGTGATCGATGCTGGAAAATGCTGAAATTAAACAACATGATGGATTTCAGCTGCAGTTTTCAGGGTTTTTTTTGCTCACAGAGCTGAAGGTTTTGCAAACTGGAAACTGTCACGGATGTTTCTCACTAAACAAATCTGAAATTACTAAAAGCTAAAAATTATTAACCAATTAAGTTATCTGACTCAACCATTGGTTTGTCAAGCAATGGTAAAGAAATAGATAAAGAGCGTTTCCTTTGATTCGTTTTGCTGGTGCAAATTGAAGAACTGCAAAGTATAAAACCAGTTCGGCCTCGTTTGAAACTCGATCTCAGGAAAAACTTTGCGCACAAACTTTTAAGGTGGATTTATGAAACAGCAACTTAATCTTGGTTATACAGTTACATGAGCCGTTCTCCTTCTCGCTTTTCCAGCTATCCGGTTTCAAACTCATTCCCAGATTGACGACACGTCGCTCTAGACAGAAGAGTATCACCTGAATTTATAACATATGCGCGTGACTGGTTTTTGTTTAGTAAATAATAGCACAAAACTTCCTCATCAACTGCTGCAAAAACAACCATAATTTGATTTGAATAGATTTTTAAATCATTGGCTGTCAATTACCACTTTTGTTTTCACAGATCATGAGGCTCAGCCGTAACACTCTGATTCCTCTGGTTGTCTCCTCTTAATTCCCGTGTAACCATTAAATAATCCTCTTATGGTTTCCGAACGAGTGCCGGCTTTTCACATAAAGAGCAAATCTGGACGGAGACCTGCTGCGTTGCTTTGTGGCATTAAACACGAGGAGGGAGCCGCTCTGTTGACGATCAGATGACGGGAAGAAACTACTGTTTGACAGCAGCGACGACATCCTCTTATAAATTAACAAGGAAACAAAACTGACAACAACATTCAGTCTCCCATCAGCTAACAGATGTTCTCCTGAAGTATTTACATTAAAAGACCTTTGAAATTTCTGTGTGTGTCTTTATTTACATATTTATAAGATGAACACAAACTCGACACTTGCTAATGTGTCCTTTAAGCTCTGAACACCTCATTTGTACTGATTCGTCGTGTGTGTGTGTGTGTGTGTGTGTGTGTGTGTGTGTGTGTGCGGTTCAGAGGCCTGACCGTGGGTGTTCTGGCTCTGGACGTCTCTTCGGGGAACCCAGCGATGCTCCTGCGGTTGGAGGAACTCCTGTACGGTCTGTGGTTGCTGGGGGAAGCTATTCGTTGGGACACAAAAGACACTGATGGGTCGCACACGAGCACGTACAGGCGGAAAAAAAAATTAAACACAGAAAAACACAAATGCACACGACACGACGACGACGGCACAGACCACGGGAAAGCAGAACATCAGCTCAGAACACTTAGAGTGACACGCTTTCTGTGACTCTAACAGAAACAAACTCCTCCTACTGGTTCTATTATCTGCACCAGTGACATGTTCTGAATGTTGTAGAAGCAGACGGGTTCGTTTGGTTCAGAGGCTGCAACCATAGAAAGCACGTTTGTTGGCCTGTGTGTTGTCAGCAAAAACTACAAAACCGTATTTCAAGAAACCTGGAAGAATCCATTAACTTCTGGTGCTGATCCACATCACTTCATTTGAAACTGCAAGACGGGGCGCTGACCTTGACGGAGGTCTGTGCTCTCAGAGCGCCTTCTAGTTTTATTATTTATACTTTAAACTGAAAGAATCCGCGTCTGCTTTATTTATCATCACTTATATCTCCAAACATCTCTCTCTTTTTTCCATACGGTGCAGTTTTTAATACGTCCTTCAACGTTGTTCCCATCTGCTATCCAGGAGTGATAAAATAAGATAAAAGTTTATTAATCCTGAAGGACATTTCTGAGGCAGATATCGCTCAGAAAACAGAACGTATAACACGAGAAGTGCAGCAGCAACGGAAAAGCAATAAAGTAGAAGTATGATACTGAAAATAAAAAACAGTCAGCTAGAATAAGACACTAGTAAAGCGTATTTCTAGTTAAACAGACGTCCTGATTCAGGTTTTTACCGTCAGTTGTTACTCTCTAAAAAGACCTGTGTTTCATTTAAAACAATAAAGTCAAGATAAGATTATTTATACAGCACTTTAAAAAAAAAAAAAAAGACCCAAAGTACTTTCCAATAGAGAAATAAGAGCCCACAATATTTTTTTTAATAATAAATAGTAAATTAAACTATAATTACCTGACGAATTCAGACACTAAGGTGTCAAATTATTCATAGACACAGAGCTCTTTGTGGTAAAAAATAATAATAATATATTATAAAATATGAGCATTCTTCTAGCAAAGTGAAAAAAACTTTATTATTATTATTATTATTTGATATGCATGATGATTTGAAGCCAGAATCTTCTTTTTGTTGGATTTGTTCATAATTAAAGTTGATTTTTATTATTTAAAACATCAACCTGAACACTTTCCAGATCATTTAAGACCTATTTGGAATTTATCTTTCAAGAAACTCTCCTTTTAGAAGAGAAATAATGTCATTTCCACTCAGAACAAGCCGGTTTTCACCCTGAAACATCCACATTTAACCGTCAGCAGCGCCTCACCTCTCTCCGGCGAGTGGATGGCGGCCGAAGAGTTGGAGAGCTGTTTGTTGATTGGCTGATCCATCGTGGGTGGAGACAAGAAGTCAGCGACTGATGGAGAAAAAAAAAAACACAATCAATCAATCGCAGAAACACACACACACACGACTGTGAGTCAAAGCTCCGACTCCTGCTGCTGCTGCTGCTGCTAGATGTAAAAAAAAAAAACTCGTTCTGATCCCCAAAACAAACGCCCGTCACACGACAAACACAAAACCACCAGCTCACACGGGAACAGTCCTGCCGGTCGATGAGCCGTGCAGGTCGCAGGATGAATTAACCTTGGTGATGTAAGACAGAAACGAAGCAGCGGAACGAATCTGCTTCATCATGAAATGGAGGATGACGGCACAGAAGCTGCAGCGACGGCGTGAAACCAGGAGGTAGATGTGTTGTGCTGAAGGCATCGTGGAAACATCCAGAGGAGGAGAAGACGGACACCAGCGGGTCCTAAACATCCAGTCTGTGTTCATGCACAGTTTTATAAATAATCTGCATGATGAGAATGTGATTTAAAAAAGTGCTCCTTCCATCTCAAATTATCACATTTTTAGCACGATTTCTGCTCAACCGCCTCTGATTTGCCATAAAATCTGGACATTTATGAAGATATGAGAGAAGTTTTAGCCCGACACATCAAACACTTACAAAGATTAATATGTTGTTTTTTAATTATTAGTGTAAAATTTCACAAATACCGTTTTAAACATCTGTAGTTTATGCAAATCAGAGATGGCTGAGCAGAAGGCTGCTGATGGTTTGAGATGGAATAACCAGATATGGGTTTATGTTTGACAAAGTCTGTTAGTATTAACCTAAAACGTGTTAAAAGATTATATTTACACTTGATATTTCCTGTAAATGATTGTTTAAATGTCTATGTTTTGTGCGACATTCAGATATAAAAGGAGCTGCCGTAACAGCTGAGTCAGAGCGGTATTGATTCAGAACGTTTTTTTTGGTTAATCACTTTGCATTTCACAGTTTCTCTTCACGCTGAGTTATTGTGTTCGTGCAGACTTTTGTGAACTGAAAAGCTGCTTTCACGCCTGAAACAACAAAACGTATTTGCGTAGCTCGTGAGCTCGTTTTAAATTAGAGGATTGTTTTCTTGGACGGGGACTCAGACGTAACTCGTCTTCTTTCATGTTTGCAAATTTCTAACGAGTGAGAGTTCACCAACACCAGCTGATCTTTGTGCACTAACGTCAATACTCGGGGATTAAATGAACGACACTAGTTGTGTGATTCTCTGAGGTTGTTATTTCTTATTCGTGTTTGTCTCTTGAACAACCAGCAGGCTCATAACTATAAATCTGTGGCTTGTCATATCTGGAATTTGTCAAACTACTGTTAGGATCGTGTCTGTGAAGATTCTCAGTCCTCCAGGTCATAGTTATTCTGGTAGATTAATCGTAGCAGCTGTATTTGCTTGAGTTCCTTGAAGACGTTCCACCTCTCATCCAAGAGGCTTCATCAGTTCTGACCGACTAGTTGGGAGTTCTAGACAGTGATATCCTAAAGGAGCCTGGCCACAAAAGACTCTAACGAACCCCATTGCGGTAGGGGGAGCACTAATGACTCGCATAACGAGGGGGAGGAGCAACAAACCTCCAACTGAAACCGAAACTCAGGTGTTAATGGTTCCTTATGGATATAAGTATCTGGAACTCCCAACTAGTCAGTCAGTTGGATGAGAGGTGGAACGTCTTCAAGGAACTCAAGCAAGTCCAGTTTCTACGATTAATTTACCAGAATTACTGTTAGGATCCATATTTCTTATCGTTAAACTGGACCTCGCTTCGTGTTTTTGAGGTATGCATGAAACTGTAAACAACTAAATGCCATTTTAGTTCATGAACAGACTTTTCTTTTTAAATCTAGTCTTCATTTTCCTACATTTACGAGGGTCCCAGGCTGCAAGCTGCTCTTACGATGATTAAAAAATAGCAATGGTTGTTTTTTACAGTACAAGTTCCTTTTTTAGGGTCAACAGGTGACATCTGTGCATGAAAAATAAAGAACTTGTAGGCGTTCGCAGTTTATTACATTAACAAATTTAATTAAGGAGCGCTAAGAAAATCTCGTTACTTGCCCCTCAGTCCTCAACATGAAAGATGCCATTTGGATCTGCTCATGGGTTTACGCTTGCTCTAATTAATTTGAAAGCTCGCGTAAACGTCTTCATCGCGTTGACTTAATTCAGCTGGCGTGCGTGTAAACAACCTGCCTGAAAAGCCGAGATAACAAACAACACTCGCGTCATGAAGCTTTGTTGTCCTGACTGGCTTGTATCTACGTGTTTTCGTGATTCTTAAGAAATAATCTCTGTGCATTCTAACCCCAAACAGTGTCTGAATAAAACTGATTCTGTCATCCCGGAGTTGTGTGGGCGGGAGGCGTAAACATGGCAGAAGCTGTGTGTGTGTTTTAAAATGAAAGCATGTTAACGAAGTGAATGTAGTTTCTGCTGCACCGCTACCATTCTGCTACAGGAGGAAAATAAACTGTCTGGCTTGTTTGCATTCCTTTAAACTAATAACGATCGACTTGGGCGAAGCTAAGAGAAGGCTGCAGTGGAACATGTGCAGAGAAATGTGAATAAAACTCTCAAAAAAAAAAACTAGCAGGGCCGCCTTACTGCAAGATCCTCTGTGGAAGGTCGCTATCCTGGAGGTTGTTTTTATTGTTGAAGGGGCTTTTGAAAACACACAGAGGCTAACAGCAGCCTTGTACCTGCATCCTACATCTGGGGAGTCTGACTAGTGCAGGAATGAAACAGGAAATATTATATTATTTAAAAAAAAACAGGTTTTCAGGTTTTAAAATAGAATGTACGGCGCCCTTATTGTGAAATTCCTGTAAAATTTGGAGCAAAAAATCTGAGAAAAAGGTGCAAAACAATAAAAAAATACAAATAAAAATCAGGGAGGGGATTCGCACATCTGTAAAATGGGCCAGTAATGATTGGAAATGTCTGGATGGACGGCGCCTGTCTGAGTGTGGGTCGGGTCTAATAAGTTCCACAGATAGCTGCAGGGTGACTGTCTGGTGTGATATAGGCCGTGTGTGTGTGTGTGTGTGTGTGTGTGTGCGGTGTTTCCTAGACCGGGCTCCCTGCTGAGTTCGATATGTATGCTTCGCTAAACAGGGCCCTGAGCCACGAAACACAGGAAGAGGAGCAGCCCTTTGTTGTGATAAGGTTGGGGGTGGGGGAGTGTGTGTCGGTGTGTGTCGGTGTGTGTGTCGGTGTGTGTCGGTGTGGTGGTGGTGGGGGGGTTCAAACCAGACCCTCATTAGCCACCTGGCAGGCTATGAGTGGAGATATGAGGTAGGAACTGTTGATGAAAATGGGCAGCAGCTTCGTTACACACCTGCAAATACACACAAACACAAATCTAGTGGACGGACACACAGCGTTCAGTGTTGGAGGTCACACGACTGCTTGACTTTGACCCTAAACGTCCAGACAAAAGACACCAAGAGATTGATGGATTTAAAGCCTCGGAGATACTGTTTCGTTTTGACATTTGCCAGCAGTAAAAACACCCAAAACATTCTTTTAAATTTGATCCAGAATACACAAATATTTTAGATTTGGTTCAAATGTTTGTACACTGAGGCTGCTCGGGGTTAAATTTAACCACTGACATGGACTCTAGATCTACCAGTGTGGCTGGAGTCAAGGAAAATGGGGGTTTCAGGGAATCTTGAACTCGTGAAACTGTAGAGGTCATGTTTTATGTGTATTTTTTATTTACATTTATTAACGTGACATCGGCTATTCAGATGTTCTAAACGGATCTATAGTTTTAAATGTGCTACAGACACTATGAGGGAATTCTTCACTGTCAAGGCATCAAACAGGATGTCAGGGTTGATTCATAACTAAGTTTTTAGTAATACCAGAATATGTGGCGACACTTTGAGCATTAATAAGGAGCATATAAATATTTATTGAACTGTTTATAGAGTAGTCATATGTACAGCTATAATGACTAATTAATTAAACCAAACAAAAAGTGCTGACAGTTGATTTATCGGTTTGAGAAAAGTTTTAAAGGGGACAAAAAAGGCTAAATTCTCTCATTCAAGCTTCTTAAAACTGAATATGTTCTGTTTTCTTTCCTCTTCTATGACAGTAAGCTGAATATCTTTGGGCTGTGAGACATTTAAAGACGTCCCGTCGACACTGATCAACATTTTTTAAACACCAAACAACTAATCAATGAATCAAGAAGCGAATGCTCAGTTAAAATCGTGAAATAATGAAAATATTAAGCAGATTACAGTGTTTATCGGTGTTTCGTTATTTACTCTAATTACTGCTGTCATAACTGCTGCTGCTGTACAAACAGGAGCTTTTAAATATTCATCAAACTGTTTTTATGTGAAGTCACAAGTAAAGCTGCATCGATTAATCGATTATTTATCAGCTGTTAAATTCATCGCCGACTATTTTGAGAATCGTTTAATCAATTTGGGCAACTTCTTCAGAGAAAAGCTTCTTAAATGTAAAAAAAATTCTGGTTTCTTTTCTCCTCTTTGACAGTAAACTGAATATCTAGAGTTTTGTCATCTTGAGAAGCACTGATCCACATCCTTCACCAGCTAAAGGACCAAACAGGGAATCAAAAAAATAGTCCACATTAAAAACATGTATTAGTTTATTTGTAAGTAAGTGTAGTAGAGCAGCCATTAGTGGAGGCTGCTGTATGAACAGATAACGAATGATAAAGTCGTAAAAGCTGTTGTCCTGTAAAATATGGACACCAGTTTCCCTCTATTCATGCACAGCTGTATTATATGGTGATATAAACTGTTAAATATTCATACGCTCCTTTCAAATGCTAAACTGACACCAAGTATTTTCCAGCCGTTCTTTTGTTTTTTGTCTAATTATTTGACCTTTTGTGCATTTTTTTCACATGCCACATGGAGTTACCAACAGCATAAGTGTTTCAGACACAAAAAAATCTCTTCTGTCTGTTCCCGAAACGACATTCATGCTTCCGCAAGTGTGCAGATTTTCACATTGGGGTCAGCCAACGCACTCGCGAGCAGAATTAATATGTGCACCGGAGGCTACTTCACATTTAATGAACCAGACGGTCGAGTAACGAAGCACAAGCCTGGCAGCAGAAACGTGGACTTTCCTCTCTCGAGCTGGCTCTTGGTGCTGCTTCTCCGATGCTAATGCAGGATTTCTGCATGCGTTTGACTCAGAGGGCTGCGGATAGCGGTCGAGATGCTGCAGGAGAAACCGTTCGCTCCTCTAAGCGTGAAGAAAATCTAACGAATACGAGCGACGAAGGTTTTTACAAGCAGGATTCCCCAACACTGCAGATCAACAGCGCACACTTCAGGACGACATCACAGCCAGAGTGACGACACAGAGACACACATGCAGACGAGAGGATCAGCAGCGGTGTGGGTGGAGGCACTGGTGGAGGTGTTGGTGGTGATGTGGGCGTGGCACAAACACAGAGTCATGTGGTCTGTACCGTTACGGGATTGGCTGGCGCTGGAAGCGGCAGGAAGCTCATTGGGCTGAGCGGAGCCAATGGCATGGCAGGGCGGGGTCTTAGGGTTACCTGGGCAGCAGGTGAAGCAGAGCGGAGAAAGCAAAGCGTTACACACACACACACACACACACACCTGTAGCACTGACACATAACAGACAAACCATCCGCACGTTTAAACAGCAACCACAAAGATAAACTGAATCCAAGCAGGAGGACACTCTCTTACGTCAAATCAAGTTTAGAGACACACAAACAGGCCGAGCTGAGCTGTTCAACACAATAAAGCTGCCAAACAAACACACAAGGCTGCCTTCAAAAGGAACACACAAAGTCTAGAACACTAAATAAAGGCACTTAGGCTGTGAGAACACGTCTTAGAGAACCGACGATCTCCATTCAGGCAGGACATTTCTCCAGCTGTGGAGGGGAGATTTCAATCCAGTGTGGAGCTGATGTGAGTCATTTTTCACCCTCGACTCTGTACTGATTACTGCTGAAACTACCTTTCTTTTAAATTTTTGCTGCTTGGCCTCTAATTTACTTCCAACTCAATACAACGTTGTTGTGTTTTAAAGTGAAGATCTCGTTTTCTTCTCCTGCATTTGATCAGCTCAGAGTGAAATACAGCTTTGGTGGAAAATATTTAACGCCAGCGTTTGGGGACGAACACAACATCTGAAAGAATCAGAGATATCTGGAGAGGAAGACTGAGACCACTAATTAATTTGATAATTAAGCTGTGTCTCTAAAAAAAACACGTTCCAAACAACTGAACTACAGTCTTAATCTTAATCTTTTTATCCAACATTTCATTCAACATCTTTTTGGCCAAAGAAGCTGGAATGAAGCTTCATACAACTAAAAACAAAACTTAAATGTCAGAATAACGGTCCTCGTCTTAGAGAAAATATATTTCTTTTAATTGAGAATGCAGCTCGGTTGAGTAGGAATTAATGGAGGCAGGGTTGTATAATTTCTGATTTAAGCCTCGTTTTGAGCCTGGATTTGTTTACGTTTTGTCACATAAAAGATGCTAAACTAGCCGTTAGCTGTTCTTATTTGTAATGCTTCCACTGATGTACAGGAAATGTTAGCAAACTACTGTCAAGGTGAAGAAAACTTAAAAATGAGACGATTCTCTGTCACCTTTCTTTCTGTTATTTTCTCAGCAGATTTAGAGATGATTATTTGTGTTTTTCTAATCTTCTGTTTTGGGTTTGAAACATCAGCAGGAACGATGAGTTAAATTAGCAACAACCTCCACCTGCTCCAGTAAATCCCTAAAGGAATGAAAACTCCACGTATCACCAACGTTTACTACAAACCACAAACATCTGCACTGCAATCCAAACTCTGAGTCACATCTCATCATCAACAGTCATCCTCTGGGGACACAGAACGTTTCAGAAACCCATCAAACAGCTGATGAGATGTTTCAATCAGCTGAGCAACATTTCCACCCCTGAACATCCTGTCTTTGTCTTTTACTTACTCTGCATCCAGTTCAGCATCATTTCGGCTCTTTTCTGACGCCACATACTGAAACATTCCAACTAAAACCTCTGTGTTATTAAATCGCTGACCCGTTCCATCAAAACCGAATATTGTAGACGTCATTCTGGAGACTCTGAGATGTAAAATAATAAAGTTTACGTCGGTCTGAGAGATGTTTGGCTGTGTGATGCATTATTATCATGCAGAAAAAGCCCCTGATAGAGAGTTGATCTACAGCCTGGAAGGTCAGCGTATTTGCCAATCGATTGCCTCCATATTTCTTTCAATTTTTCACACCATAAAGCTCGTGACAGCGACTACTGGTTTAGGAAAACCTTGTTAAAACAAACTGGCAGCTGTCATGAGTGCACAGGTCCAAAAGATCGGAACCGCAGCGAGATACGCAGCACGCCAACACACACACTCCTCGGTGGGTCTCTGTCCTTTAATCGAGCGGCGCTGTAAGATGAGACGCTGCTGTTTCTGCTGCAGTGAGCTGGGCCCGGCTGATCCCAGAGCAGCCTCTCTGCCGGGCCGCCGGGCCGGAGCCAGACAGGCTGCTGGGTGGACCCCCGATCCCAGGGCAGCGCCGGGACGGCTGCCTTCAATAATTGATGCTGTTATGAACGCACCGCAGGACTGGCAGCCTCGCTGGTGGCGCTGTGGTCTCCCGCCGGCTCGCATGACGACAGAAAATATCCCGGAAAAGTCCGACGTGACGTGAGGGAGAAAGACGAAATAAGAAAAGACGCATGTCGGCGAGTAAACGGCCTCATGTCGCACTTTGTGTTTATGTGTGTGGCCTTGTTGCGTTCAAGGTTAGATGTGTAACTCCGGTCCTCTGAGAATCAGACCGGCCGCCCAGCTCGCAAATTAAACAACACAGCTATGACACACACATGCAAACACACACCTGTAGCACATTTATAAGGCAGAGCCGCCAGCAAACACCAGTTTATCACCGCAGCTGTCTACTGGGAACGGTCTCTGCTAGAAGAAGCCCTGATGAGGTTTAGAGACAAAGCGCTGAGCAGCTCCTGCATTGCAGCCTCCACACCCTTTTCCATCCTCTGCCCTCCTCTGCTCCTCCATCACTCCTTCTCCTCACATCTTCCTCTATTATCCTCACCTGCTCTTTGTCCACCCTCCCCTGTTGTCACATCCCCACCCTTTCATGCCACCATCCCCCTCTTCCTTATAACTCTTCCCCCCCACCCCGACCTCCAGACCTGCTCCTCAAACACCTCCATCCCTCCCAGCCCCCATCAGCATCCACCACTTCTCAAATCCAGCTCAGCAAACAGCCCCAAGCAGTCATCATACTCACCCTCCACTCCATCCGGCGGTCCTCCCCACGTCCAACGTTTTGGCCTGTTATCCAGGTGGTCCCGAGCCTCCCCTCCTCCTCCTCCTGCTCCTGCTCCTCCTCCTCCTCCTCCTCCTCCCCGTCTCTCAGCGCCCCCTCCTCTCCGGCGAACCAGGGCCTCCAGCCTCTCCTGCTCGTTGCGTTCGGAGACAGGGAAGAACAGGCACTCTCTTACCGAGCCATCGCTACGGCGACGGACGCCGGGCGATGCGCTCGGAGACGGCTGCGCCATGGTTACCGCGTGCATTACCGCAGCGGCCTCGCCCCTCCGTCCCCCCGTCGCACTCGTCTGTTTCGGCGTCTGCTGGCGGTCGCCGGCGCTCGGCGGCTCAGTGATACATAATACAGCAGCTGCTCCTCCTCTCTGCCGCTCCCTCTAGGTAGCACTGATTCCCTCCCTCGCTCTCCCTCGCTTTCTCTCTCACCTCTCAATTCTACTCACCCCTCCCTCCCCTCTCCCTCTCTCTCTCTATCATACGCTCTCTACCTCGATCGCCCTCTCCCTCTCTAATGACTGAGTCTGTTTCATGGAGCTCTTTAGGCAGACAGGAGGAGGCAAAACGCAACCCGTCACCACCCCCACGCACACAATCACACACATATCAACACACTGGGGACACACACACACTGAGTGGGTGGACTGGATATTGATACTGGTTGCATTTCTTTCATCTCCAGTGGCCTTTTTTCTCCGCCTTCCTCCTCTGCTCCCTTTGGACTCAAACAGTACATTAAAAAAATACATTACTCAGAAACAAATGATGACACGTCTGAATGAAATGTCGCACAAAATCTAATTGATTTCCTGTTTTATCTTGTCATCTATTTAAACAGGATCATTCACACCACACACTGTGTAACCCTGCACATTTTCAGGTGAATAATTTGCACATTTATGTAAACTGTTTATATTTCTGTTACCCTTTATCGGTTTTGCTCCACTTGCTGTTAATTTGTCTAATTTATTGTCTTGTATAAAATCTGTTGCTGTTATGCACCAAATATTCCTTCTAAAACTGATGCAGATTTTTTTTGCATGCACACTGTTTCATAAAACAAAAAATTAAACAAACAGATGTGCATATGTGGTGACGTGTAACACCCTCATGTCTACACTCGTGTAGTCTTTTCATAATTTCCGTCTAAAATGTGTGTTTTCACGGCTGAACGAACGACTTCTCGTGTGCGATCTTAAAAACCTTCCAGTGCCTCCTTCCTCGTTACACGACTATAACGGAGACACTGTGAGATATGACCAGATCTGGTGACTATCTATTATTCAGATACACATTAATACCTCATATTTAACAGAAAGCCTTTTCAACACCACAGAGAACAAAAGTTAACATCCTGTTTCACAATAATTCTAACGTATGGACCTATTATTTAGCACATCCTCAACGCTTTAAAGCACCGTTTACTATTAATTTGCGACATAATTGGTTAAATTAATACAACCGCAGATGGATTCACACCAGTGAAAAAGGATTTAATTTAAACTTTTGCTTACAGTTGTCATCATTAGTGTTTGTCACGAGTCTAACGCTGTCACAGCAATCCCACTTTTACTTTATCGCCGTTTCCTGACAGCCTGCAATCAAATTCAGAAATATTTTACAACTGACATTATCGCCTGGAGCAGGTAAAAGATTCAACACCTTCTAAAGGTATTTTCAGGATACAGCAGATACGCTGTGTTAAGTCTTGTTAGATAGAGGTCCTTTGTTTCCATGCTGGATTTTATCACTACCTCCTTGGTATTTATGGCTTCTTTATTATTTTTCTATTGTTTTAGAGAACATTGTTCTACAATGTCTTACTGTCACAGTACTGAACAGTCACTTTGCATTTCACTAAAACATCTGCTGAGAAAATGACAAATTAAATCTTAAAATACCTGCTACTCAACAGCCATGTGTAGATTCAAAGGTGAAAACATTTGTCTTAAAGTAATATCTTCTATTATAACAACGGTGTGGATTTAAAAAAAATAAATCATAATCCAACCATTTAAGGGGATCTTTGGGGAATAAAAAGTGTTTATTAAATATTGTTTTATACATTAAAATGCACCAATGTGCAGCTTTTATCGTCAGATTGTTGTTTTTTTTTTAAGCAAACAACTTCTTATTTTGAAATTTAATCCCTTTTTTTACATATTTAGAGTATATTTAGTGATATTTATTATATTTATTTCTATTTATTATTTGCTTAGTTCTGTGCACTGACTCGTTCCAGACAATATTTCGCCTTTGCAGGGAAATTAAAATTAAATTCTGTCCCGTTAGCAGTCTTTTTACGTGAATAAGCTTTGTGTGTTTACGGCCACGCCTCATTTCCCAATCAGCGGTCATTAACGTGCACGCGGCGGCCGTATATGCAGTAATTGCCCGATATAAAGCTGCCTCGGTATACTGCCTGCATATAAAGGACGGAAATGCCCCACCTCAGCATTGTTTGGGGTGGGTTTGCTGAAGGTGCATGCAGAGTCACGCACAAACTGCAGAAGGATGGAAAGATTCGGGGAGGGGGGGTGGGGTGGTTCAGAGTCAGTAAGAGGGGAGGATTTAAAGGGAGACAGCAGAATTAGAAGGTGATGGAGGCAGTGTCGAGGTGGAGAGACGTGGATCAAAGGCAGAGAGAGAAGACTGCAGCAGAGTTAGTCGCTGCAACTTGATTAAGAACACAATACACTGAAAGACAAAATCAGCTACCTCCCAGTCTATTCACAGGCTGTTTCCACACAGGACAGTAAATTCTGATGAGTTCTGTCGGTTAACTGGCATTTGTTTTATAATCAGGGGCAGCGCGGCTTGTTAATCGACATTATTTACAAGGCAAATGTGCCAGAGTTAGTCGTAATGGACCAATTTACATGTGCGGCGCCGTAGCAGAATGTTAAATGACCCTCTCTGAGGAGATGAAACGCCCGACACACTACAGTATTAATTACAATCATCAGGGCGCTCACTTCATAAAACGGACAGAGCACGAAGCCAGGTGCTGCAGGTGAGCCGACGGACAGCTAGAGACGACCAGCACGCTCAAAAACAGGCTCAAAACATCCAAAACTAATCGCCAACAAATAGGAAAACACACCAATTTACATTTTTTCTACGTTACTACAACAAAATTGTAGAGAAGAGATTTTTAATTAGTAAAAAAGATGCTCTCTCTGCACTACAATAACCAGGAAACCACAAACTAAAGCTCAAACAGTCACTGATAATTGACAATTGAGTCATTATTTAGGCTGTTTTACACGCCAAAAATCTCATTTATTCTCACTACAGCTTCTGAAAAGGGAGGATTTTATTGCCTTTCTTTGTCATATGATGGTTGATTAAATTTTGGGGGAATGTTTTGTTTTTAAGGAATTAATTAATGGTCAAATAACCCCCAAAAATAAGAAGAAGCCCGACCCATACCAGACAGAATATGAATCTGCTAGAACTCTAACAGTTGTTTAGATGTTTAAAGTATCGATCAGCGAAAAAGGTCCAAACCTTCTTCAGCTCCAACTTCCTAAATGTGATAATTGACTGTTTTTCTCTTTTTTAGATAAAAAATATATGTAGATAGAGCCCAACCGATTCATCAGACAGCCAGCATTATCAGTCAATAATGACATATTATATATATAATAGTGTTCATACACACTGTATTTTATCTGAAATGCACCAAAATAAAACCAGTTTTTGCAGCACATGCAGCAGAGAAGGTGTCACAGCTGAGCCTCGTGCTAAGCTGTTAACAATGACGCCGTCCTAACTCTGACATACTGTAAGTAAAAAGCATCCTGAACTTCACCTAAAAAAGAAAGAAATATATAATCTATTTCTTTATATATGATCAGCTTTGGCTCTTTATTTAACATCTTTGGGTTTTAGGGTGTGTTCTGACATTTTAATAACAATTTAGGGCAACATTTAAAAAAACTGATAAATCAAAATAACCGGTGAAATAATCCTTAGATGCATTTAAGACGGTCACTAAGAGTTTTATAATTAGAGAGAGCTATCAGCAAACATCTGCAGCACAGTGGATTCCTGCAACAAAAGGCTAAACTGACACTGGGTTTAAATCCTGTATCAATTCTTCAGTCACACGTCCTTCTTTCTTCGACATGATCAGAACCACGTCAAGGTGAAATACGGGCTCGTCACGGCTCTGCCAGCATCGACGGCCTCTTCCAGTAAACGCCACATGATACGCTGGCGGTGATGTCATCGTCCCGCGAGACCCACCGATCATTATGTCGTTAAGTTATGCATGCGAGGAGCGCGCGGACACAGCCTGCAGATCAATAGAGACAGTAAACCCCCTCCCCAACACGTCCTCCGCCGCTCGTAACCCTTCACGTGCTGCTCAGCGGTAATTCACGCTCTGACGGGTCGTCGCACAAAGCGGCGGATAATTTACGTCGGACTCTAAAGCTGCAATAATATGAGTCGATGTTTGTGAGCCGAGCGATGCCCACTCATGACTCACGCCGAGCCCAACGAGGGGCGTGCACGGCCACGACTTGTGGAGAGGAAGCCATAAACAGAACATGGAATCATCGCTGCATCATCACGCTGCAGCTGTAATAGAATAAAGAATGTCACGAGCTGCTCCACATATTTACTGATAATTAAAATATGACTATAATATAATGTTAGAGCTGCAGGTCAGAGGGAATTCAGATTAAAAGCAGAAGAGCTGCAACACTCGGCTTACAAGTAAATCTACTGAATATCATATTTTAGCTTTTGTTTGTTTTTGCTTCACTGGACATTAAACTATTTGGGTTCAAATTAGAGGTGCGATTATTTTCTCGATTGATGGATTAGTTGTTGAAAAATGTTGGATCGGTGTTCCCAAAAAGAAAAAAACCCACACAGATGACGTCCACAAATATCTTGTTTTGTCTCTCACGATTGGAAAAAGAAAAAAATACAGTAAATATTCACGTTTAGGAAGCTGCAACGTGTGAGAAAACTGTGGCTCTGATTGTCGAGCTCCCATGAAGAGGCAACATTAAGACAATGAGCTGTTCTGTGATGATTGTAAACGTCGTCCAACAGCTGTTTTAAACAGTGAGTGTTTTTCTACATGTGAGGTTTATTACAAATCTTAAATCCCTTTTTTAGCAGTGCACGTTACATGCTCGCGTTAGCTGGTCTTCCTTGTAGACTCACTCATTGTCATGTTCTTACTCATTAAGCTATTTTCAGTCTGCTTGCTTCAAATTTATGGAAGTTACAGGAGGCTGCTGTCTTCGCTGCTCGGATTTATCTGTTCCCAGAGCTTGTACTGAGCTGGGAAAAAGGCATTTAAGTGCACGGCTCTCTTGGCTTGGAATCATTTGCAGCTGATCTCAACTAAATGAAGCAAACACATCCGGGTGCAGACGTTGCGACGGACGCACACTGGCCCTGCTGGGTCATCGTCACTGACTCGTGATTGTAATGTGTTTTTAATCAGATGCGTTACCTGGTCATTTGTAAATATGAACGGAGATGCAACGCAACAGAGTTTTAATCTTCTTTTTATCAACCTGACGACAAAGTGGCTAAACGTCATCTTTTATACCCAGAGTTGATCCTCCTCGACGGTAGATTCTGTCGGGTTTCATCTTTCCAGAAACAACGATGTCATACTTTCCACATTTGGGCATGCTTCCTGCTGCCCGGGCAAGTCCACACAAGTTCTAACACCTTCATTTCCAGGGCATTTCAGAACAGTCTTTAAATATAAACTTTAATATTTCCATGAATTTCTTTCACACTTGCAAATTGAATAATTCGGATATCATGTTGAATAAATGGGTTAATTCCCTGTAGCACACATACTTATACTTGATGTAATTACATATCTCCACAGTCTGACACGTCAACAGTTTAAAGACAAACTGCAACTTTCATGACTCAAAATCACCCAACAAACTGACATCATGTGTGTAACTGAAGGCACAATTCAAACAGGATCAAAACAACATCTGTGTCTTGCCCTTCACTGCTGTGCACTGTTTTTCAGAGATTGTGACGTTTCCTCCCCCCAGAACACAACATCAGACATCTAAGGTCATAAACGGGGAAACGGATAAAAGCTGCACATTCAAAAAGGGGTTAAAAACAAACAAATCTTGGTTTTCTAAAAGTTTTCAGTGAGATTTGTCCCAACTACCGTCCACCGAATCTATCAAAAGGATAGAAAACCTAAAAATGATGACCCAGAACAACTTACGTGGGAGTCACTAGTTTTTGTAAGAGGTGGTTTAAAAGAAAGTCAGCTGATGGTGCTGAACCTTCTGAGGAACACTCCTGGCTGAGATGAGACTCAAAAACCTCTTCATATGGTCTCCCAGCCAGGCTGATGACCAACATCCCACAGCTGAGCTCTACTTCACAGGTGCAGCAGATCTACCTGATGAGCAG